CTTGCGAAACGTTAAGAAGAAATTCTACCGAACGACGGGCTAAAAACCCGACAAACCCATTAGTTTCAAGGAATGGCCTCGAAAGTCTATCTCTTTTGATACTTCTATCAATGTCTTGTGGAAAATTCTGATATCTATCTTATCTGAAGCTTTATACTTTTAGGGAAGCGTTTGCAATGAATGAAGACAAAAGGAAGTTCCAATCTCTGCTTTTTGGATTGACTAAAAAAGTTCGATTTTCGTCAGTATGAGTCGTATTCGGAAACCTTTGCCCGAATTAATCATCCCTCTTAACTTTATTAACAAAGCAATTTCAACTGAGCATTGAATATGAACAAATTGCGCCTGTTATTCAGGCCGGGGTTTTATTAAAACCTGCCGTTAGTAATTACCTGCGATTTTTCTTCCGGCGGCTGAGCAATTGAGAGCAGCAGCTCCGCGACTTTCAAATTGCCCTTAAAAGATGAAAATTCGTAGATTTTTTTTAATGAGATTCCTCGAATCTGTTACGAAACTAATTTCATTCAAGGGAATTATGCATTTTTCTTCGATGAAATATCGCAAGGCGCTTAAGTTAATGGGAAAATACTCAGAGAGATGGAGATGTTGCAAAGCAAACATAGATGTGGTTCGTCTCTTTGCAGCTTTCAAACGCTCTGTGCAATAAAAAGCAGTGTTTCTGAGGGATGCAAAAGCGTCTTGCACACGTCTTGTAAACCGGCGATTTTTCGTGTTGCAAAAGCAGTGACCGGCCGGGTACATCAAGCAAACTCCCTCCCGAAAGAACAGAGAAAAGGTTTTAAAGTGGATTTACGAGCCGAAAGCCACTGTCGAACCTCGTTACACCTTTCACATATAAATCCCCATTTGGGGATTTGGGGTGTTGTGAGACCAGAAGCCCCCAGACAGCGGGGGGCGCAAATCGTTGTTTATTTTTGATTTGTTTATATGGCCTGTTTACCCCCTAGGTGACGTTAACGCGGAAAATATACGGGAGATCTACTGTAAATTGGTGTTGGGGCTTTTGGGGTGTCATGTTTCCTCATTTGTTTTCCTAAGGGTGCCTGCCAGAAGTTCCACATCTGGATGGGGGCGATCTCTCGTCCCCCCACAAGCATTAAACTAGATTAGAAACCGCGCTAGTTTATTTTGAATTAGGGCCACTATTTGTCAACGTTTCGCCTATTTACCAGTAATGAATACTGGTTCATTCGACGACTTTTTCTAGTGCATGAGCCGAAAATCTCCAGCCGAAGAACCTGGAAGAAGAAGAAATAATCTACTGGATAATTTCAGGCCGATTTAGGGCGTAATTACAATTAGAGAGCGGGGCTTGGGGCTTGATGGGGAAGCGAAAACTGTTCTAGAGTAAGAAACTTTCCCGATTAACATGCACAAAGTTTACCTGGATTGCATGCTGGTGCATGCTGATTAAAACCATTTTCAGCATCCACTATACAAGGTTTTTTTCCAAGGCGCCAAGAAAAACGTTGTTGCCCAACTAATGGCAAAGTCCCAGTTTTTACTGAAAAACACTGTCAATTTGGAATCACCCAGTATGGCTTTGTATTCGAAAATAGATTATGTTGATGATAGCTGGTGAAACACGTCCATTGGGCTGAAATGGCATCTCAAAATTTATGCCGCAAATGCAAATAACCACCGACCATTCGACCGCAATCAATAATCCGCATTTGTAACAACCATATTGGGTGAAATGCAAATGTCCATCGGGGATTTACTCAAAATTATAAACAAATTTAATACGCGAATGGGTTTTGATGTGCGGATTTAGGGCAATTGCGTTTGATTATTGTGGGTTTTCATGCGTTTTCGCCTTGATGATTTTGTCGACTAACTAGCTTGGATTTTTTT